AAAAAATTACATATATAATTCTTACCTAAAAAGACAATATCTTCTACTTGAACTCGTCCTGTACGTCCAATCTCCATGGCTCGATGTGTCATCTCTGTTATGAATTCGATAACCAAATCCTCCAACAAGTCGACGCTCTCTGTATAAGGATTCTGATCGTCGCCGAAGCCATACATCATGCATCGCAGTTCCTTGGAGAAGAGACGTTTTCTTCCACCAGGCAGAGTCCCGCCGATTGGAATTTCTGCCTCTTCATCCTCAAACTATCGACATAGCCAAAATATAAGTATATAGCAAGAAAAAACGATTGTAATAAATAATTAGTTTTCAATAATCATTCGTAAGATCTTGTCTATATCGTAAAACAATGCAGATTCTCTAAATGGATTTCTTTGTGAAAAAAGCACATTTACTTCTTTTAACTGCATATGTAAACTACATTCAGAAAAACATAAAACGTACATTGAATTAAATAGTTTTCAGGCAATTTATGGTGTACTCAATATTTTATTTATATTCATATAATAATGTAATTAAAATTTATTTAGAAAAAAAAGTAAAAGTAAACATAACCTGTTCAAAATTTTCTTCAGCAGACATCCTTTTATAGGCCAACTAGGCAAGTTTAAAATCTTCAAACAGTTTTAGCTGCTTGTCCTTTGTATATGTTTTTATCTCCCAACCAATCACATAATTTTTAAAAAATTTTTCTATAACCTTAAATATGTAGATAAATATTAATGATTGGACAATTCGATTTCGCGTTTTAGATATGGAAATGGATCAGTTTACTGGCGCCCCTATGCGGACAAAACTTTGAACTATGTAGCCATGGATATTTCCAATGGGTAACATATCTCTGATTTGTTCTGTTATCAGCGAGCATATAATAATTATTAATAAATATAATTCTTTACCTGTCTACTATACTAGAAGAAGTGGATCCAAATTACATAGCAAAATTTAGTTTTCTGCACAATTTATGGTGCGTGGGTATACTAAATCCACTTTTCTAGTAAGCTGGAGCTTTATTCTCGAAAAATTATGTATTAGAAAAAGAGAGAAAAGTTTGAGAATGGACATGCCGTATTTTAGGTGGTTACGCCCACGCGCGTCGTCCACACTAACGCTTCTATATGTGCATATATACATGTATATATTTTTTTTTATTTAAAAAAATTTGGCATGTCCATTCTCAGGCTTTCTCTCTTTTTTTAATGCATAATTTTTCCTGAATAAAATTCCAGCAGGAATTCCAAGTGGTTAAAAAGAAGGGCTGCGATCCGATTCACGCTCCAACACTTGGAATATTTTCATTTTTGCCGTTAATCGAATATATATAATAATCGAATAATAAATAAAGATAAATGATCATGAGCGCTGCAAGCGTAAATCGGACCGCAGCCCTTCTTTTTAATTACATTATATTTTTTTGCGCGAAAAGAGAGAAAGGAACTGACAGATCTGAAAAGTTCAGATACGAAAAACGATGCTCTATTATATATATATTTAGGGATGGCAAATAAAATAAAGATCTTTTTAATTACATTATATTGTTTTGTGCAAAAAGAGAGAAAGGAATTGAGAGATATGAAAAGTTCAGATACGGAAAACGATGCTCTATTATATATTTCTTTCAAATATATACATATAATTCGAGTCTTCCAGAGATGATTCGAGAGAAAACATGACGCCCGACGCGACCACAACGGTCGGAGTCCCACAAGCAAATGATCTCTCGCTGATACCGGTCCGCTTATATACTCGATTCGAGTAGTAAGCGCGCTCCAATCAGAGCGCTTGGCGTGCGGGCGCGGCACTGCGCGTTCATTGGCTGGTGCGCGAGCGGCGAGACGTAACGCTACGCTCCCCCGAATCTGCTGCCGAGTGCCGACTCGGTGACCATCGAATTATTGCACGCGCGGCGCGTACGCGCCGCTTATATAGTACCTGCCGAGCGCGGACCATGGAGAGAGACCGCCTCACCACCCGTGTCAGTTTTCGGCGGACGATTAGGAGTAAGGAGTGAGAATATGCCACGGGTGATGAGGTGGTCTCTCTCCATGGTCCGCGCTCGGCAGGTACTACATAAGCGGCGCGTACGCGCCGCGCGCGTGACAAGCTGGCGGCAGTCCGCCGAGTTCGTATCAGATGTCGATTGTAGGGGAGCGTTTCATGGCGTTGCTACGCGTCACGCAGGAACGATCCAACGATGCAGTGAGCAGTCTTTAAACAACTCATGCGCTGCAAAAGATGAATGAACACGTATACATTAGGAAGGACATTTATATGCTTCACACGATACATGTAATCT